AGTCCATCCTAAAGGAGATCAGTCCTGGGTGTTCATTGGAAGGACTGATGTTGAAGCTGAAACTCCAATACTTTGGCCACGTGATGTGAAAAGCTGACTCATTTGAAAAGACCCTAATGCTGGGAAAGATTGAGGGCAGGAGGAGAAGGTGATGACAGAGGATGAGGTACTTGGATGGCACCACTGACTCAATAAACATGGCTTTGGTTAAACTCCGGGAGTGGTGATGGACAGGGAGGCCTGGCGTGCTGCAGTTCATTGGGTCGCAAAGAGTCAGACACGACTGAGTGACTGAACTGAACTGAACTGAATCAAACTGATCACATGGACCACAGCCTTGTCTAATTCAGTGAAACTATAAGCCATGCTGCGTAGGGCAACCCCAAACAGTGGGTCATTGGAGCGTTCTGACAAAACGTGGTCCACTGGCAAAGACAGAGTGCCTGAAGAACTATGGATGGAGGTTCCTAACATTGTAAAGGAGGCAGTGATCAAGACCGCTCCCAAGAAAAACAAATGCAAAAAGGCAAAATGGATGTCTGAGTTGGCCTTACAAATAGCTGTGAAAAGAAGAGAAGTGAAAAGCAAAGGAGAAAAGGAAAGATATACCCATTTGAATGCAGAGTTCCAAAGAATAGCAAGGAGAGATAAGAAAGCCTTCCTAAGTGATCAATGCAAAGAAATAGAGGAAAGCAATAGAATGGGAAAGATGAGAGATCTCTTCAAGAAATTTAGAGATATCAAGGGAACATTTCATGCAATGATGTGCTCAATAAAGGACAGAATCAGTATGGACCTAACAGAAGCAGAAGATACTAAGAAGAGGCCTTAGGTTAAATGTAGTTAATACCTCCTGGGTTGTTTTTTTTGTGTTTTTTTTTTTTTTTTTTTTGTGCTGTAGCTATTAAAGCAGAACAGTAAGAGAGAAAGGATTCCAGCAAGCAAAATTCCCACTCCTCAAATTCACCCTTCCAACTAGAGACTGCTAAAACAAAATAAATACTGCTCCATATATTCAAATTGGAAAGAACTTCAATATAGTCAGAATCATCTTTAATTATATTTCCCAACCAAAACAAAGGATGATGATCAGAGGCTGAATAATTAAAACTGACTGGAAAACATGGGTTAATAATGTTCTCCTCTCCATGAAATGAATATATTGCATACTAAAACAATATTAAATGAGGAATAATTTTATAACAAACATTCACGTTCAGATAAGTTATCAGCAATTATCTTGCACGAACAACATGCACTAGTTGGGATCCCCGAAGATATACAAAAAAGAGAGAACTTACTTTCAGAGAATCAGTTACTTTTGGAGATGGAGTTGACACGAAGCAAAGTTCAAGATTTTCTCAAACACAGAAACCAAGACAAACTTGCTAGACGGCGGCAACCGAGCGCATCCCGGAAGGGGACGCTGACGCACTTCCGGGCCTGCCCCTTCTCCCTGACCATCTATTGTATCAAATAGAAACATATGTTCTCTTTTCCAAAAGCGGGAGGGGAAGGTCCCCCATGGTGGTGTACGCAAGAAGCGGATGGCATTTTCAAGGAGGATGTGGAGTCGTACTGACCAGACCCCTTTAGGAGAGCTGGGCGCCTCTCCACGCATACTAACTACTTCGGTAAACACCAGTGTGGATGAGAGGCGTAATGAGTATAATACGGATTGAGAGAAAACAACTGTGGAACTTTTGAATTGTGGCAATGCAGATAAGATAACTCCTAAGTGCCAATTCAATTACTATTAGAATTCATCTGCCACTCTCCACTCCACTTCATATTTAATTATTACAATAATGAAATGTGAGTGATTTTTATCATTTTCATTCAATTCCCCAATGCACTTATTTCCTTCCTGGACACATTTTTTCTACTGTATTCTCACTGTCTTATTGTATAGATTTGGAAAATGAACTCAAAAGACCAAAAAGCTGAGGATAGTATCAGACATCTTTTCCCTATAGATTTAAAGAAAAAAAAATTTACCACTTGTGGTTGCCTCTTTCAAAATGTAATTATTTAACTGGGCAGAGAAACCCAGCTTTTGTTTCTCAGCTTTGGAAGCCCCATGTATTTGTTTTCAGTTAAGTCAGCCTCTGCTTATCAAAGGTGTCTCCAAGGTTCTGTTTTGAACACTGTGTATTAATTTTAGGCACTCCATTTATTACTTTCTGTGAAAAAAAAAAATCAAGCATTCAGCAGCATCTTACCTTTGGAAGTCTACAGAGATTATCTTCTTAGTCCCCCCATGAAATGAACAGGTGTAGAGAAAATTAATTTTGTGTTGATAAACTGGTCCTGGACAAGCAGGGAGTGAGTCTCTGTCTCCGAGGAGCTCCTCATCTAAATCCAGTGGCATCTGGAAGGCAAGGTGAAGATGCGTACAGACTTACTCCACATTTTCAACCTACTTCATAACTGTCACAGAGTTTTTGGTTTTTCTAAAATTGGCAATTAGATAGTTAACTTTGTAATCTAGTCAACATAGCACTAAGAAAATAGAGCCCTTTCTATCTCCTAGACACAACGTTTTCACCAGCACTGACTCCTTCATAAATATCAAATGATCAATCAATTCAAATTCAAAGCCCTGAAAGAGGTTCAAAAGCACCCCCTCATCTAAAGCTAAAGCTGCCACTCTGCACCCCCTCCTTGAGTTGCTTGAGAAAGTAGACAGTAGGATGAAAAAAAACTTGCTCTCCAGGTATAAGGACATGGATTTAGGTTCAGACTACCCAGGCCTAAATCTTAACTCTTTTACATACTGGGAGTACATGTGTGAATTAAATAAGCTAAGGATCAGTGCTATAATATTCTAAAGCAAACAGAACAGCAACTGGCATCAAGTAAGTGTTAAACACTAACTACTATTATTGCTTATAAAATTTGTCTTTTGATAACTTGTTTTTCCTTCACAGGCTGCTCTCAGTGTTCTTATTATCCTATGAAATCCATTGAGGTTAGGGGAGGTAGCACAGAGGGACTATGACTTGCGGGTAACTGTCCACCTTCCATGTTTTACCCTATCCAGTCCTCATTTATTGTTTTGGTTGGGGATTAAAAGAAAAAAAAAAGTAAGAAGCAGGGATATCCATGGGGCATTTAGGGTCCAAATTTAGGGAGAGGGACAGGTAGTGGAAATGAAAGGAAACTTTCCTACAAACATGATTTTACTAAGATAGTAGGCTTATTGGGGGTGGTTCTGTGGACAGATTGAAGGTAAAGGGAGCTACAAATTTCATCAACTCCTTCCTGTTGCCAATAGGAGGAATGAAGATGAACACCAAGATATCTTGGAAGAGACATACAGCATACATTGTGGTGAATCAGTCTTGCTACTCTGCTGAGAAGTAGCAAAATATGATAAATGGTCCTAAAACTTTAGAAATTTTTGAATCTTCTCCTAGCTTTCCCTGCACTCCTGTGAATCCTCTCATTTATTTCCCACGGAGAGACCTTGTTAGGAGTGGAAAACCATGGTGGTTCTGTCCCTGCCTTAGCAATATTTGGCCAGATGAGATGGGATTCTGCAAATGTGCCACTGGGAACCACAATTTTGATCTTACTAGTTAAAGTTGTTCACCAGGCTCCAGTATTATATGTACAATAGCTAAAAGATTCTTTAACTTGGCATTGTATGAAGATGACAAAAATAATTTTCTAAAGATGGCTTAACAATCTGAAAGAAAATTGTATAGACTCCAATAGACATACTTAAAGAAAACTAAATTTGAAAGATATGTAGTGTATCCTTAAATGAAACTCCAAACCTTCACAGTAAGGAAATGACCATAAATTTTAAATGATGTGACTAAGGGAATAAGAGTCCAACCTGACTCTTCTTTTCTGTAGTATATGCTTTTTTTTTTCTTTCTGTATTAACTGATCTGGTTTGCATTTGTTGATTCTTGAAGTCATCTATACAAAGCCATGATCTTTGCTAAGGCATTTACTGAAAGTGCACTTCTGAGGTTTGAATGATTACCAGTTGATTTCTATGAACACTTTCCTTCCATCCATTAAACTCAGAAAGATTCCATATATTCATCTTTATCTGCAACTGAACTATGAGTATTTTAAGGACAGGGACTCACTATTGACTTATCATCATTTCTATCCTAGTCCCTGACATGCAGAGCTCACTATGAATTTATGAAATAAATGAATTAATGAAAGCAATTGCAAGTTTCCAACTTTAAGTGTGTTTTTCCTGGTACCCTGCAACAGGCATATATAGAGGAGCCTTCTCCAATTTTAAGCCCACACTTCCTTCTCAGGAGGCCATTGAAAGTAATTTGGCCTAAGTTTCCCCAGCTGCTATTGGTTTCTATTACCTATCAAAGGTACCTGACACTGCTCCAAAGAAGAAAACACTTCATCCTCATTCTGGAAGAAAGAGACTTAATCAAAATCAAAAGATTCGTTTCTCCCCAGAGAGGCTATACAATACTGGCAACAGTGATCAAATAGGGGAAGATTTCCTAAAATACTTTCCCGTAACGAGCCAGTAAAACTGTCTCAAATGACTGATAAAGGAATGAAAGTTTTAAAATCCTTACCCATGCATCAATCCTGCATTTTAGAGTGTCTCATTTTATTGTACTGATTAATCATATGCTCAGAGGAAGTTGGCAAAAGCTATTAAAGCCAACCAGTATAACTGGAATGCCAACTTCACAAAATAATCAGGGTCTGGTGGGATATGTCATAAAATATGCCAAGATGGGTCATTCTAATGCGCTCTTGAAAGAATTATACATATTCATCCTCCTCGTTTAGCACCTGAATGACAACAAGCAGGTGAAAGCATCAGAACCAATGTATCAAGCCAGACAGTTGCCATTATGAACAAAACATATAAAGAGAGTGACGGTGCTGAAAAATGGTAGGAGTCTTCTACTCAGACCTTGCAAGCACTGCTCTCTTTTGATAGGGAAATGAAGCTTGCTGGGAGAGAGAGAGAAAGCTATGTTTCATTGTCATGAAGGCTTTCAGCTTATGGCAAATTTACATGAAATACACTTTTCTTAATAGAATTCACCATAACTTTTTAGTTTGTTTGTTTTAGAGACATCCTAAGAGTAGAAAAACTGTCAATCTAAACTAAATGCTTTCCTTAAATATCTGAGATCATCTCTGAGCAATGGCGGGCTCTATTAATCGCTAATGAACTCCTAAATGCCACCTTCAGCTGAAATAATGATAGGTAAAATTATACCATGACATACTGAGTGACAAAAACAGCCCCCTTACCTAGTTTCCTAGTGTGTTATTGGATTGCAAGGCACTGATTTAAAGGAATAAAATAAATAGCTAATGGGCTCCAGTAGAATCATTTGTATTTCACTGTGTGTGTATGTGTTTATATATATGCATTGTATGTGTATTCTTTTGCATAATTTTAACAGAGAGTTGTCCAGAATCCTTTGAGCCACTGTCATTATAACTTCTCTCTCCTCCTTCTTTGCCATGTTTCAATGAAGAGAGCCTTCTTCTCAGCTATTAAAACAACACCTCTTAATAACTGGGACTGTGCAAAAGCACAGATAAGCTAAGTGTAAATAATCACTCAAACTCTGGAAAGCATGAATATTTTCACACACCTCCAGTGTTCTTTTAATTGCTCTATATTGCTTTGGAGAATGGGACTGGTTGAAAGAAGATCCAACTACCCAGTATGACTTTTGTATTTTAAACGATACAGTGAACGGGCAAGTTGCCCCTTTAAGCAGAGTTTGAAGAGGCCATTCTTAGACCTTAACAAAGAATGCTAGTCCCTATAAATTAAAGAGAATACTGTAAACTGCCCTTGTATGACCTGAGTGCCTGCCCCGACCAGCTTTTGTTCCAGTCAGCCTTCACCCCAGATTGCCAAGGGGAGGGGGCCTCATGTATTTGATTGCTGGGATTCTGGTGTGTCTTCTTGGCTCTTCTAGGAATGGCTTCCTGGCCATGGCCCCCAACATCTCTCCTTCAACTGGGCCTGGATTTGTTATTCAGCTGTGCCCATTCAGACTCTTCCATTTTGACCTAGCTAAGGTCCACAGTAGATGTCTTGCACCAGCCTCACAGAGACACCACTAACACTGAACTGAAAATCAAAGCAAAGAAACCAGACGGCAGGCTAGACTGGTGAGCTCATCTAACCATAATCTTTATACATCAATGGAGAAAGTTCCCAGAAAATTGTGTGTGCTATGGAGACAGGAAAAGCTCTTTGGAGATATTTAACTTGAGCCTTTTATTTTTTTGCTTTCAACATTTTGTATAGGCTAACTACTTTGAAGCTAAAGCTAATCCTTTTCTTTCCCTCTTACTGTTAATTTGAAGATATTTAGAGAAGCCGTAATAGAAGGATCTGAAGTTAGAACCATTGCCTATAAACTACCTGGAATACTTGGTTCCTGCCTATGTTCTTCACCTTTTTTAACTCCTGCCTTCTTTTCCAATTATTATGGCTCCTTTTAATTACCATCTAATTTTGAAACCACAAGTATTACAAACTGCTACCTAAGTTGAGACCTCTTGTGTCCCTTGAAACAAATAGTTCATGTAAACCCTGTTCTCCTGGGTTATAGAGGATTCGAAGGATTTCCCTGCAACTGCTCAATAAGAGGGTCAGAGAAGAGCACCATCTGAATGAGGAGAGTTTTATCTGGACATTTACTGGTTCTATTAATATCTTCTCCTATTGAGGTTTGAACCAACTTAGTAACTCACTGTTTCTTCTGGGCAGCCCATGATTGCATGCTAGGTGCATAATCACAGGTGGTCTTTAACTAGTTTTCTCTATACCCAAAGTCTCATTATCTTGGGGGAGTTGAGAGAATTAGAGGGTGGCAAATAAGAGAACAAATTGAGTGAAGGCTTGTCTATGAATCTGCAGCTCTTTCCTATCTTCATCTTTTGCTGCCCTTCTGCCAACAAGTATTTCTGCCCATGTCTTTCCTTTCTCATTTCCTTGCTTACAATTCTGGCCTTAAAAAAAGGGTAGGCCACTTTATTTGCCTCTTACCAAGCTTCCCTGGTGGCTCAGATGGACAAGAATATGCTTGCAATGCAGGAGACCGGGTTTGATCCTTAGGTCAGGAAAATCCCCTGGAGAAGAGAATGGCTACCCTTTCCAGTATTCTTCCCTGGAGAATTCTGTGGACAGAGGAGCCTGGTGGGTTACAGTCCATGGAGTCTCAAGGAGTCAGACATGACTGAGCAACTAACCACACAGACACACAGACACACACACACACACACACACACACACACACACACACACTCAAGCCATCATTAATTCCTTCATTTAAAAAATATCTGTTGAATATCCATCAGATTTTAGCTATTGTTAAAGATGCTGCAGAAAAA